TCCTTCCCAAGTTTTTCTTTCAATTCATTAACAATATTTTCATATGCTTTGGTGGTGAAGGAACCATTTACCCTGTTGCCCGAATTATGTTGATGTAGGAAAGCATCCATAAGAGCCTCATCCATTATAGGTGTCCATACTAATTTGCCTTCTTCACTTGCATTTTCAATATTACTATTTTTCTTCTTCCCACCCATACCTAAATAAAAGAAATTATTAGATAACTTTATTCAATAAAAATTTATAATAAAGAACATTTATTATTTATAACATTAAAAAAATAAAAGTAACTAAAAGGCTAAATTCAGAAAAAGAAACAGAATCGTGCCGGGAAGTCTTGTATTTGGCTTAACTTTAACTCTGGAAATGCCAAAGATCAGATCCGAATAAAACTGGTCAAAAATTAATCCACCAAAATGATTTGCAAACAGGAGACATAAAGACATGAATCTAATGAAAAATTAAACAAACGAGATCTGAAAGAAGGAGATGTAGTCGGAGTTAAAAAGCAACGGTGGTGACAACAACGCAGCACAAGGCTGCAGCCTTGATATTAGCGGGTTGGGGGGCGGGCAAAGGACTGCCCCACGGCTCAACCACACCCCCCACCTCCCTCGATTCTTTCCTTTGCACACGACCGGACGGCCTCATCACCGCCGCCCGATTGGACACCAGATCTTCCTTTCCGCCATTCCATCTGTCGTCTGCTCCTCTTCGTCCCTCTCCTATTTGATCCACGAGCAGATGCCCATAATCCGATTGTTCCCCTCCTTCAACTGTTCCACCCCACTCTTTCTTTCCTCGCTGGTGGCCGCTTGACTCGTCCCAGATCTGTCAACTCCCTCCTCCCACAACCGATTCACATCCCAACAAATATCTATTGACAATATATATAGATATATATTTTTTTCGATAAATTATCTATTGACAAGATTAGAAAGAGATAAAAGAGAACAAAAGGAGAGTATAAAAGAGTAGACGAGCCACAGGCCACAGGGGGCTGTCACACTATATATATATATATATATATATTAAATGTATATTTTAAAAAAGAGTAGAATATCTATCATTACTAATTACAAACGGGGCAGAAGAGTAAATGGGCGCACCTGTACAGGAACCAAACCGTTCCATTTATTATTATTGGAAAACCACGAGTCTACAACAGCAAGACATGAAGGAAAAAAAAAACAAAGAAAGAAAGAAACAAAAGCAACTACCAGAAAACAGGCTGATTCAGCTTTCTCAAGGAGCATGATCATCAACGGTCTGCAACTTGATTAACCCTCTCAAAGTGGATCACATAGAGTGCAGATGAGATGGGTGTTCCCATCAACATCACCTCATTGCCCTCCTCCTTGTACACGGTAATTCGATCCCCAGGTTGCAGACCATGCTCTTGGAAGAAGTGTTTTAGGCCAGTAATTGTTTGCTTCGGACGGAGCTCGCTCTTCCTCTTCTCGTACATAAGGTGATGAATGGGGCGGCCGTGCGCATCCTTAGCCAAAAACGGTGTTGACTTCTCATCTGGTGGAATCCTGGGCATAAGATGAAGAAAGCGCTGGTTGGAGGCACTGACCCTGCCCTTGGCAATTCCGTCAGGTTTAAGAGCTCTTGTTGGGAGAACCACCGTCAAATTTTCCATTGGAGAACCTGCACTAGTAGTGAAGAATTTGCTGAAAAGTTAAGGAGAATGAAGTGCGAGATCAACATAATTGACTCAATTTTTATAAGCCGAGGAAAGGAGAAAACAGTTATACTTTAAGAGTTCTGTTTTTGAACTTATGCTAAGAGATTCGGTGACCATTGGAAGAACCCCGACGTCATACCGGAAAGCAATCTATTCTTGCTTTAATTTGGCACGACTTGGAAAAGCAACGCAACGTCTGTCATGTTTTCATCATATAATTGTAAGCTTTGACAACCCCGCTTTGCGGGGTAGGGAACCCAATGGCAAGGAAATTACAATTTTGAAATAAACATTAAATGGAATATATGTTTTAAAAAATAAAGAAATTATATCAGTGAGTTTTGAGAATTTAAACCCATTAAATTTAAAATACAAATCTTAACATTGTAAGAACAAATGCTTGAAGAGAAATAAAATTATTATTGTATTAACAAAGGAGAAACACTAGATCAAACACTTGAGACTGTGCAGTAATTACTTGATCTGTGTATCGTATCAGTCACATATCAAGAATAAATGCAAGATTTATTACATAGTAAAATTGAGAAATTTTGTCCATAATTTACATAATAATTAATAATTAAACGGATGGAATAAGAAATAAAAAGTAATTATTGAGCATGTTGTTGTGGTTCAATAATCGCTTTATCTTTATAAACGACTTCTCATGTTATAACTTTACGATGTGAGTTTCAGATTTTACTTTCAACATTTCAAAAAAAAAAAAAAAAAAGGTGATCACCAAATTCTTTTCTTCATGCCAAGGAAAAAGGGATAATGGTATATAAAGATATCAAACTAGAAAACTTCTGAAAAATATTATCATCCATATCAAATCTCTAGTTGGACAATCCCACGTCTTCGGATGTAGTTTTTTTTTTTTGATTTCCCGACTGATATTCGGGGTTTCGTCCCGACTAATCCGAACCCGATCCGCATTGCGCACCTGAAAATGGTTAGTGAGTCTCCCAGCGAGAGCTGCTGCGTACATAAAGTCTCGAACTGGAGACCTTATTTAAATTGAAACAAGCCGCTTACTACTTGATCAAACCCCTCGTTGGTTGTCTTCGGATGTAGTGAATAGCTCAATTGTTTGCAATTTTGGAATAAGACTCGTACTGCATCCAACTTATCGTAACACTAACTCTTTCACAAACGAAAGGGAGGAAGATATGAACCTATCCGGCATCGAGTTCAATTTAATTAAAATAACAACATTAATGCCTACACCAAACAAAATTAAGAGTCATGTGTACTGTTTTCTTTATATTAATAGGATTTTTAATTGTGAAGGGAAAGAAAAAAGAAAAAAAAAGAACACTACAAGAAAAATGATTTTTGGTGACAAAAATTTGTGATGAATTTTGAAATCATCACTATAACTTATCACAATTGTGATAGATTTAAAAAAATAGTCACAGATGCATACATATTTAATGATAAACAAAAAAATTCATCATAAAAA